TTTTTTTTTTTTTTTTTTTTTTTTTTTTTTTTTTTTGTTGTTGTTGTTGTTGTTGTTTGGTTTTTTCTTTTGTCTTCTTGTCTGCTCCCTGCCAGCGAGGCAGGGAGCGCTGCAAGGACTTCTGACACCTTGTCAAAGAAGACATATACTCAGATTCTGTATGTAACCGGTTTCACTTCCATATTGTTGTTGCTTTTTTTTTTTTTTTTTCCCTTTTCATTTCTGAAAGTAACGTCCGCTATGAACGCGGAGCTGTAAACGCCCTCACTGAGGGCATACTCTCACACTGACCCCTGATTCTGTATCCAACTGCTTTCTCGGTCATAGCGTTGTTGCATTTTTCTTTTTTGTTTTGTTTTGTTCTTTTTTCTTTTTTACGTTGCTCATTTGGGAGGAGTACGAGAAAAGAAAATACAACGGGAACCAGGCTCGGCAAAACTCGGTGCGCAGTGAAATTCAGGTTCGTTTAAATCAGGTGCAGGTGTACTTGTGGTTTAACGACTTATGCACGCCAATCTGCCATAGCAGCCGCGCGACAATTTGAGATAGGACCATGAGCATGAGCATGAGCATGGCATTAAGCTTGTCAATTGCATAAGCCAGCCTTGACGGCACATGCCAGCCAATTTGCGACAGGAGCTGTATCAGAACAACAGCATGAACCATGGTCTCAAGTTAGTCGAGCATCTCTCAAAGCACATGTCACCAAAGAGAGTAGCAAGCAGTAGCTAGGAGAGGGAACGGTATGCTTTGTACTGCACACCTTCAGTACGTGCAAGCACGCCTGCGACATGGTGCCCCCTCAAGGTTGACCCAGACCATCAAACGCTGCATTCGCGAACGTAAGTTGTCAGACAGCTGGAGCTAGAGAATCCGTCTACGTACATCGACACCTACATCAAAAATTTTCAGATCCACTCTCAGAAAAGGCGCAACTGAATGGGAGCGGCCCTGTCAAGATGGGAGGTCAGCGATCGTCTGAATCGACAAAATCGCTCGACATTCACAGCTGGTCGTCTACATTCGTTTTGTCTTTCTATTTTTTTTCAAATTGCACCATTTCTAGATTTACGTGTGTCATCCTTGCGCTGCGGCCATGCTAATCTTGATCCCTCCAACGGTGGAGGGCTATGCCTTCCCCCTCGAGGAGGCAGAGACGGCTTCTCCTATCGAGGTGGAAGAAAGGGGGACAGCTATGTTCCCATCAATGCTAGAGGAGGTGGGGGCTATTTCCCACCTCATTGTCTATGACCCCCATTGGAGAAAAGACATAGTTGACGCCATCTCATTGTCTATGACCCCATCACCTCATATATAGACTCGCTTGCCACCTCCAACGTTTTATATCAGCTTCTGCCATGAAAAGGCCTCCTCCCAGGGAGAGGAGAAGGAGAATCCTGGAAGGCCATGAAAATGTCAGAAGGCCAATGGAGGGAAAGAAGACATGAGGGAAGGGGTTTTAAGCACAGTGAGATGGGTCACATCCTCGCCCGCACGCCCAGAGTGGAAGGAGTCAGTAAAGGGGGTGGCCAGCAGAAACAGCAGCTGCTTCTACTGGGACTGTGAGATTCGGCAGACAGAGAGAAGCCCACTCTGAGAGAAGGAACCCTCCTGCTCACAGTCCATTTTGCCAGAAGCTGATATAGGTCCCCACCGGGCTGGTTGCCAGGAGACTGCTTGTGCAGGGTCTCTCTAGCTGGATCCCTTGCAGGCATAGGGGAAGGGCTGATCGACCGTCGCAGAGCCTGGGCCCAAATGAAGAAGGGAGAAAGAAGGCACAACTAATATTAGTAGACTTGGGAGTGAGCAGAGTTTTGGGGGAAAAAAAAAAAAAGAAGTGAGTAGAGTTGGATTAGGTGGGTTAATAACTTGATACTAAGTTGATAGACAAAGGGTCAACGAAATGCCATATTTCAAGGAACGAAGTGAAGAGGCGGTATCTAGTCCAAAAATCAAAGCGCAGAAATTGGAAGAGTAAGCAGTGTCGACATCGGCGGACGAGGTAATAAAAAACTCAAAAAATGAAGTACATGATAGGTGGACGAGGGTTGACATGTATATTGGCAGGATCAGTGCATTCTGCACGCCCTGACCCTCCGGCAGTGTCGACATTGGAGGGAGGGGAGAAGGTAGAGAAGGCATTGCATTCCCTGACTCTCCAAGTGGAAGACGAACCTACCCGTCGGCATTCTGCTCAGGACAGACTGGGGGAACAGCAGCAAAGGCAGATGTTTTGCATGGGTGCGCGCGCACAAGTGTCGGCTGCCCAGCAGCAAAGGTAAGAAGAAGAAGCTTTACTGTTTCATGTCTGATCTAAAGCCTGCCCTGTCCTTATGCTGTATCAGTGCACGTGCGTTTGCTAGACATGTACTAGCAGAAGATGATAGATCAGTGTCTGCAGTCTGCGTAAAGCCGGTGAGTGAAGGAAAAGCGGGAGTGGAAGTACCATCCTACATCACAATGCTGGATGAGTCGATAGAGAAGAGCTGGATGAAGCCTCGCTCATAGCAGTATCGTCCTGACAGAGTGCTATTCGTCCCCAAGAAAGAAGGAGAGTTGAGGATGTGTAAAGACTACTATCAGGGACTGAATGCGATTGCTGTGAAGGATGCTGAGCCACTGCTGTGTATAAATGATCTGTTAGACCGGTTGCAGTGATGCAAGTACTTTTCTAAGAAAGATCTGAAATCGGGATACCATCAGATAGCGGTCCAGCGAGAAGACCAGCATGGGACCGCATTCCAGACCCACAACGGACACTACCGTAGGAGTTTACTATCATGCCTTTCCGTCTGACTAATGCCGCCGTGACAATCCAGAGATGCCTGCACGATATGTTTAGGAAGCGGCTACATCGGCTTGTACTAACCTTGCACTTGTATATTTTACGATATATATCGTCACAAACAGAACTGCCCGGTAAACCGTAGGCAGTCTTCAGTATAAAATAAATAAATAAATAAATATTAAAGATAAATAAAAAAATGATTGACTGATTGATTGATTATTGGATACGGAAAAAAAACGCTGGAAGAACGTAGGGAACATTTGCAGAAAGTGTTGTACTACTGACTGAGAGAGAACGAAGTTTAAGGTTGTTAATAATCTGAGGAAGTGAGACTGTGCCAAGCAGCAAGTTTGTACTTAGCTCAAGTAATTGATGGAAAACCAGAGGATGCAAAAGATAGCTGCAATAAATAAGAGAGTGGCCTACACTGACGACGTTGAGGAAACTACGCTGGTTCCTAGGTGTCGTAAACTACTATAGAAAGTTTATTGATAACTTCAGTACAACTGCAGCACCATCACGCAGACCACTAAAGAAAGCAGCAGTTTGGTTATGGGACATAGACTGCACCTCATTATTTAACCCACCGCTACCTCTGAGCCTCTCCTTGCCGACGCGGAAACCAACTGCAGCCCAAGCTTTACCAAAGCGCCAGCGCAGCACTTTATTTTTTTTTCTTTTTTTCGACTAGACTACTGCAACAATTTTGTGAAGTGGAATAATAATTTCAGAGTTTCTGCTGACGTCTCTCTTGTTGCCTCGATCTGTGAGTGCTGTGTGAGCTTTTGAGTGCTCGCGTGGTTGCAAAGTGGGAGTCAAATTGAGTCGGATCATTGCAGATGATGCAGTTAGAACAGAAGTAGATATAATATTAACCCCGACTTAACAATACCCGGCCACCATTCTCACTAAGTTAACATTTCATGCGTAGGATTTAGTACCCATTTACCCACCCACCTTCAGGGTTTCATCGACCTTGAGCCAAGGCCCTGGACAAAAAAGGAAAGTGCCCTCCCCTGAGCTAAACCGCAATTAACGAGTGAGCAGTGACCACACACTCTCAACACTTGAGAAGCAGCGCATGAGCATACAGCAGCAAAGCATTTGCATAATTCCATCTCGAAAACCCATTGGACGGGTTTTGAACAACCTCGTGCGGTTCATCACACACCCTCCACCCAGCAGACATGACCCAACCAGCACTGCACAGGAGATGTGCCACATACTTTTTTTTTTTTTTTTTTTAAGTCAAAAGAGCAAAGCATTCATGATTGGATATCTGCTTGTCTGCAGAGATCACACATCTATAAAATGCATGAGCACTGAGCACAGAGGAAAAAAGTTAAGAAAAACAAAAAGATGACAGCCTCTGCTTATGCAGAAACATCGAGGATAAGCGAACAAAAGTACTCAGCGTTGTGGTTGCAATATGCGATTAAATCCAAATGCAAGAGAATAGTTATGTTTCCCTCCCCAGGGGGAGAAAGAATAACAGAGCAGACACTCATTTTCTCCTTACCTTCATTGACTTAAGAAAGACAATCCCAGACGAGAACGAAACGGGGGGCATACACACTCATCCCTGCATTGGCAAAGCAAAAGCTTAGGACACAAAGGAAGGACCCATGAATGCATCTGGACAAGGTGCACTGCCAAGGGCCATATGTCAGATGCGAAAAAGAGAGTTAGGTTTCTTCTGCGCACTTAAAGCACAGGATCACAGCAACCGGCCTCGCACATCTGCTGCGAGGAAATGCCAATCTCACCACCACGAACAAGGGTTCAGCTTCCTCCATGCAATTAAGCACACAGGAGGGCAGCTACATGGTTCACAGCAAACAATCCATACAAGTAACCAGGCCAGACGCCAACTGAAGTGCGGGAGAATCTAGTCACACCATTGGACTGGAAGGGATGTAGACAGGCAGGTTCAGCACGATTCGTGACATGGATGTCATTCAAATCAACCGCATACTCTGTAGGTTACACTGGAGAAACATACACATCTGAAAATCAGGAAAATCTAAAAATCATCAGCACTGTAATATCGTGACGACATCGTTCCTCTGACTCTGCATCAGCCAGTTATCCAAACCACCTCCTCCCCCTCCTCCTTCCCCTCCTCCTCCTTCCCCTCCTCCTCCTTCCCTTCCTCCTCCTGCTCCTCCCCCTCTGACCTTTTTTTTTTCTTCTGAAGTAGGTGGTGGCTGATTCCTCACTCTGGTTCAGCGAGAGCTAAAGAAACACAGCAGTTGGCCAAACAGGATCACATATCATGATAATGACAAACCACGGAACGTCAGACCGGTCACCATCAGACATAATCAAACATGACAAAACACACATGGAAGGTCAATCGATCAACATTTCCACAAATGCTCTCCTGACGTGCAGCGCTAAATACACAAATAACAGAAAAACGGAATGGAAAGAGAAGACCATTTGTGGGGCTTGCTGAGACAATTATCGATGTGTCCAGCATGTGTACCTCACAACGCAAGAAGTAGGTAAAGAAATGAAGCAATGCTGTCTGCGGGTGTACAGCCCACTCCGACTGGTATGCAGTGCACAGCAAGAAACCCATCCTGCAGACTTCCAGCGTGCCCCACGGCCCACGCCAGGACGCTGGTGCAGAGCATATACATGCAAGCCCAGCTCTGTGTAGCTGCTCAAAAGTGATACAAATACAAACAAACTGAGACATGGTACGAGAGAATGACACATCTACACATCCAAGGGGAGATCTACACTAGTGTCTTTGTTGCGCCCATGCGAATCCACATGCTTCTTCCAAGCATGCACTGGAAAGATAACAGCATGAGTGACATTTACATGCAGTCAAGCCTTCACCATCGGCAAGCTTTTCCATCCGCACCATATATGCTCCCAGCAAATTCATTTCGAGCATCCTCGGATCTGGGGCTTGCCACAAACGAGGCACTCATCTGGGGCTGCGAGCGGTTCTGCACAGTTCCTCGTGAAAAGGCCCGACCAGACAAACTGCTGCTCGCCTCTGCATTTAACATATGAGATCGACAATTTCCTTTGTTCGTGACGAGGTGTGGGGAGAACTAAGAGCATTCCAAAGGGTGGTTCCGCTAAGCACACAGGGATACGAACCATGCAGCATGCCGACAGGTTCTGCTACTCAGAAGATCTGCCACCATGATCGCCGCCTGTTTTGCATGAAATCTCCCATTTCCGTAGTGAAGCCTTCACGTACCCTTCTTTGATCTCGAAATCCAACAACGTGCAAGCCAATGAAATAAAATGCAACACCGACCGCAACGTTCAGCAGAGTGTTCCTAACTGTTGTCCAGTTTGAAGAACCCCCCCCCCCCATTAGAGGATGCACCAGCTCCACCACCTCTCCCCCGATCATCCACATTCCCATCTTCCTCCAATGACTGCGAGGCAGGATCAGTACTTTGCAAAGCAGTAGCAGCTCCGGCCGTACTATTACCCCCAGTTCCGCTAGCTCCGTTACCTCCCCTCAGCCTTGACCTCAGGTCATTTGCAGTACCCTCAACGTCTCCATCCCCACTTCTCCCTCCTGCAGAAACCAAGGCAAGTGCCCTTCCCTGTATCGAACCATCTGACGATATTCCATCAAAATGAAGAGCTGCTGACAACATCTCAGAGACTCTCTGGTCTCTGACATCCTGCACCCTTCTCATTCTTCTGGTTCCTTCACTTCGTACTGCCTCCTGCTGCAGACTACCGTCTTCAAAGACAGATGGACCTTCCAGACTACCATCATCTCCACCCATGCCATGTCTAAGACCCAGAGGTGTTTCCGACCCTTCCTCTCGTCTTCGGCTTCCACTGGCATCAGGGCTACGATCCAGGGCAGTGCGCAATGGACTACTCTCCTGAGTGCGTGGCAACAGCAATCCATTGGCCCCTTGCCTGGATCCTGGCCCATTCCCTCCATGTGCATCACCTCCGCCTCGTCCCCTACTCTGTCGTCTCTGTTCTTCATAATCTGGATCATCGGTCTGCAACTCGAATCTACAGACAGGACACGAATTCCTATTGGCCAACCAGGGGAATATGCAGTCAGCATGGTAGCGGTGTGAACAAGGAAGTTCCTTCGCCTCTCCACCGACATCCACATTGTCTTTGCACACTGCACACTGCGCCAACCCTAGTTCAGTATCCTCCTTAGTGACAATCACAGTGGGAAGTCCAGTCACAACTGCTTTGGATGCAGGCGGCGCACCCCTCCTAGAGTTGTCATTCTCCGCGAGCTGGTTGAGCAACTGCTCAAAGCCACGAGCGTCCAGGTAATCCCCGGGATTTCCAATGAAGTTTGTGGTGGGGAGCGCAAAACGGAGCTCAAAGTTCCGCTCCGACAGGTTGCGCTCGAAGAGGTCTTGCATCAAGTTCTGTACATAGACGGCAATGCTGTCATTCATTGACCGCCTTCGGGGACGGCGACTCCGCCTCTGAGTAGCCGTCAGAAGGATCTCCTCCCTTGTCCCACCTGCCCTACCTCTACTCATTGCAGCTTCCTCTGCTCGGCCACTGGATGACCCATCTTCTCGCTGTCTCTGCCCCTCCTCTGCATCCCCTGCAGCACTTGGATTTTCTCCCGCAGCTTCAGCACTCTGCTCCTCTCTGATTTCAATGCCAACTTCCCTCACCGTGACTTCCCTTTCCACCCCATCATCGTGGATTTGCAGCACCCTTGCACCCTGTTCCAGTCTCTCATGCTCATCTCTGTTTTCATCCTCCAGCTCCTGGGCATAATCCAAATCAACCTCCTCCTCCTCATCATCATCCTCGTCCTCCTCTTCTTCGTCTTCTTCATCCTCCTCTTCCTCGTCCTCCTCTTCGTCATCATCTTCCAGTTCATTTTCATCGTCCTCCTCCTCCTCCTCCTCCTCCTCCTCCTCCTCCTCCTCCTCATCGTTGTCATCCTCATCCCCATCCTCGTCCTCACCAGCCTCACCACCCACACCTTCATAATCATCATCCTCGTCAGCAGTATCCCACTCCTCGTCTTCCACTTCAATTCCCTCACCATCATCATCCAGCTCCATATCACTCCTCCTCCTGGAATTTTCAGATGCTGCAGACGTTCCATTCCCTCCAGAACCAGAGGCCCCACCACCCCTGCTCATAGGAGCATCCTCCATTCCATGATTTTCACCGAGCCTGCCATTTACGGATGCTCGCCCATGTGCTGCACTGCTAGCCATAGCAGCAGGCGAATCACATCGCTCCGCTCGGGCACTGGCTTCAGCATGATCTGATACCTGGGTGCTTTCATCTGAGGGCCTGGCCCCATCGTGGCCCTCACCAGCTATTGCTTGCTCAGGCCCTGCATTGCCCTGCGCGTCCCTCTCCCTTCCCCTTTCTCTCTGCCTCTCACGTACCCTCCTCCTTCGGTGCCGCCGCCTCTCAGATGCATCTACCCCATGCATGATCGGCTGCCCAAAGAGCTCCAGAATACGCACAAGTTGCTGAGGTGGAAATCGCTCGAGGTCAACCTGSAAACGTCTCGGGTGCCTTMCTTGAGAGCRCYGMCTCKGCTGGCGAATTGCACCACCCACCTCTGCTGTTTCCATCTCCTYCAGAAAGCCACTACTGCAAGTGGGGCATATAGTTTCAGCACCGGGAAGAAGATCGACCTGGGTGTTGCACTGATAACACCAGAAAGGTAAGGAGCCAGCTGGCGACGTCTGAGAACYAAGAGATYGRGATGCCAAAGGCACAGTGGATGGAGACACAGCAGATGGAGCTGCGGCGCCTTGCTGCAAGGGTGGGGGGTCTGCCATGGTTGATGGGCCTTCTGCTGTGAGCGTCTACCACAACGCCACACCAACTGCTGTCTTCCAGATTGCCTGGAATACCCCACCTTACTTGCAGTTGCTTCCCCTCAACACCAGCAACCACCCTCTCCCAAGTTCTCCCTGGAAGAAGTTGAACTCACAGGATGTAGCCCCGGCGCTTGGATAAAAGTGGGGATTCCATTTTCCCTCACTAGCAGAAGTGGTCTGTACGCCCCTTAAGCAGAGGAGGAGGTCCACACAAGCAACTATACCTGAGGCTCAACATTCCTCTTGTCGTTCCCCGGATAGGCATAAGCCAATTCTGCTGCCCCTGGAACCAGAATACAACCCCCCAATATAAGCCTGCTGCATGCCAAAAGAAATGCAACCAGGTAATCGAATGAGCTCACTTGCAATCCAAAGTCGAATACATCCACATGGCTTTACATCAAGACAGCCTATAAAACTACAAAATACCAAGTTAAGAAACATGACGACACTGCCCTTTTCCCTGTTTTCCTTTCTTTTTCCTTTTTTTTTGCCCCCAAACACACTCATGGCCCTTAAATTCTGGGGGGGCGTCAGTCCGGTCGCTTATCACAGGCAAGCATGAACAAATGTAGAAAGTGGCAAGGAGAGCAGCTCCGCCCTGGCACTAGTCCCCCAGGGAAGGGGGCTCTTGTTGCACTGCACTGCAGTCCGGGGCACCAGGACGTTTGTCTGTTTGGATCTCTCTAGCCAGGAGACGCTCGGTGTACTCAGACGCTCATGGGGGTCCAAGCCTCGATCTTCAACACCCTCTGCTCTGCAACAAAGAGTCCAGCCTTGTTCCTCCGTCACGTTCATCTGCCTGACTGCTGCAGGTGCGCAAAGTTCCCCACCTTACACATCTTACATAGGTATCACAGCCGAGCGATTCTCCCAACTGCCCCCCCCCTCCACTGCTCTACACTGTTATGTGGCACACTCATTGCCCAAACCTTCACAAGTGATTGCGGGTTCAGAAAACCACCACATGAAGCATGCTGTCATCGCAGGAAAAATTTGACGAGGGCAATTGCCAAACACAGTGAACGGAGTTGCTTCAACCTGCTGGGTAGCAGGTTTTCAACACGTGGACTGTCTAATCTTTGGTTGTTTTTGCTCTCGCCAGGGCTTGAACTTGGGAGTCGTGACCCAATACAAGGTAAATATAACTCTTCGTGTTTATGTGTTGTTTTGAAGCATGTGAGATTCAAACCTAGGACCTCTTTGTAGAATCTCTGTTGGCCAAGTTCAGATAGGCCCTTCCAGACCTGTAGACCTAGACTTTTCCCAATAGGCAGACTGGGTAGAGCTGGGGTGGGGAGGCAGCTCCTCAAAAGTGACGAGCTCTGCAGTAGTAGTTAACGAGTTTTCATTCTGTTTTTGGTGGAATAGAGGAAGGAGAAGCCTCATGCAGTCTTCCAACCTTCTCTTTGTCAGCTGATAGCAGGGAGAGCGGGATAGCTATCGCCAGGCAGTTCTGGCAGTCGGCAACATCATTTTCCGTTCGCTGAAAGGATTTCATGTCGCAGACACCCTGAGTCCCGGTTCCAGGGTCTCAAATTGTCCTAGTCCCAGTTGGACCAATCCCAGATGGTCCCTATCCCAAGCTGTCCCGGTAGGATAGGTCTAGGGTCCGTAGGCTCGAAGCATCACAGGTCGTTAGGCCTCAGTACCCAAACGTCACAAGTCCGATATAAGTCTGTCGGTACCAGAAGAGGAAGTCAGTCCCAAGTCCAATATTTGCAGCAGCGTCCCAGGAAGGTCCGGAGACTCCAGGAAGCAACAATTTTGGCCAGGCAGAGGCCGCAGGCGACCAGCGCCGGTCCAGGGCAGGCAAGAACAGCCAACTGCAGCTATATTTAGCTGCTACAGTGCAGGGCCAAGATAGATGTTTGTTTGCGAAGTTGTGGAAGCGCTGCTAGCTACTTGTGTGATAACTCGACTTGGATCAAAGGGCAGGCGGCGGGGAAAGGAGGAAGAGCCCGGCTGTAGTAGTGGTAGCCATAGCTAGGGTTCGAGAGGAGGAAGACGGCGTCCATAGTCGCCCAAGCTCAGAGTGACATCACGGTGTATTAAGGGTAGAACTAGGCCAGAGTGAGAG